AGGCAAGCGGGCGGGCCGGGGGACGGCGGGGCGCGCGTGCGAAGCTCGGCCGACCTCCCTTTCTCTTTTCCCGTTCAGCGTCACCTCGGCCTCAGCTGGTCTGAGCCCTGCTAGGTGGGAAGCATGAGCGGCAGCAACTTGAATAGGAACGACGAGTTTGATGAGCAGTTGCGAATGCAAGAATTGTACGGAGACAGCAAAGAAGGTGATACCCAAGATGAACCCAGTGAGGAAACGGAGTCTCTGGGGCAGCAGTCGGCTGACACCCCCTACGAATGGGACCTGGACAAGAAGGCTTGGTTCCCCAAGGTAAGAGTGGCATAGGCGCCACGCCACTGCGGAGCCGGTCAACCTTATGGGGCACGCTTTTCAGGTTTGTTTTGCTCGGGTCCTTGATCCAAGCCCTCTGGGGTTGCTGTCTTTTTGTTGTTTGTGCAGAACCGATGTGTGAAGAAACCTACATCTTCAAGGTGGTGTCTTAAGCTGTTTTCTTCAGTGCCTTATTAATTTTGTCTGTGAAGGTCACAGTTATTTACATGGATGACTGCTTTTTATTGCAAAGGAAAAAACACGAGATTTAGTAATTTCGTCTCAGTAGCTAACATTATCCCAAGAGTTCAGATATTTAGCTTGTGTACTATGCAAAATCCAGGTTGTTGATTAAATAAGTAGCTCTTTATATACCTTACTATATGCGCTGCCAAAGTGAATGCGATGTCTTTGTTGATTTAACCTTCTTTGCATCTTGCATTACTTTCCTACTAAATGTTGTCCAGGCGCATATATGTTTGAAACAAATAAACACAGGAATGTGACTAGCGATGCACAAAAGATGAGTGAAAAAGACTTGTGTACTTTTGTTTGAAGTACTTGGAAATTGTATGATTTTAATGTGAATGTAAAATAACTAGGGTTAAAAACTTGGTTCTGTAAAATTGTGGTAAAAGTACCCTGTTAATGTAAGTCTTACAAGAGCATCAGTATCAAAGGATACTAACAGCACACAAGACTTACAGGCCAGTAATACAAAACATGTCCCCATTGTGTGACTGGACTGTTACTTTTAAAATTCTCTATTTCAACTTTTCTTTCTCATTTTGCATTTTTATATATCCCAACCTTTACAAATTCTTACAATTACAAGTATTTTACTTCTGTACTGGTAATGCCAGCTTGGAGTGCAGATTTGGTTTCTTCTACCTTCTGAGTATTTTAAACAGTGGTTTTACAAGAGAGTAATTTCAGGCTGTATCTTTTTATGTTATCGAAGTCCATCCATCTTCAGTCTGAGTTTCAGATTTTTCCTATTCCTATATGTGCCTACTGTTTACTCGGTATGATGAGAGCACTACATTTTTCTCATTGTGCGATAATGCCTTTCTCTCAAAAGCTGGGAGACACACGAATTACACTTGTTCTTAAATAGTTCTGACATTAAATGATAATGTAACTTAGTTTGTGATAGTTAAATGAACATCTTGTCTTTTAGTTGTAGCCCCATTTTTTTATACACAAAATCAAAGTTGCATGCTATGTGCTCTGCACGGTCATGTTTAAATACTTGGTGTACATACATATTTATGCATCTGTACAATAAAAAAGTAGGTTCTGTAGCTAGATTGTTGGCTTTTGGTTTTTGTGCTGTTTTACTGTTCTTTGGTACTACCTTTGTTTTATGTATTTGTAGCCTCAGTAAAGTATACTGTAGAGAAGTAGTAATTTATAAAGGAACTAAAAAAAAAAGTGCCAACATCACTTAAAATGATTTAAAGCTGTCTCAGCCTTTTGTGTTGATATTCTAAGTAACTATGGCTTATTTTATCACTTTTATATAGTTTTCTGTATCAATGACTATTCTTGCATTTATACTTTAATTATTACAGCTGTTTGTAGAAAATCTCCCATGTTAAGTTGTATTGCTAAATATACTGTGACATAACACAATATAAACTTAAGGGCAGAAATAACTTTGAATTTCTGTGTGTGTGTGTGTGTGTGTGTGTGTGTTCTTTTGTTTAGATCACCGAAGATTTCATTGCTACCTATCAGGCTAATTATGGCTTCTCTAGTGATGGCGCATCTAGTTCTACTGCACAAAACCCAGGCACCAGTGTGAGAACTGAAGAAGATCTTCCACAAAGAAAAACCCAGGAACTCACTGATCCCAGAAAGAAAGGAGAGAAAAGAAAGGCTGAATCAGGCAGGTGGTTCCAAGAGCATATAGTTAGTTTCTAAAGAAGATAGTAGCTTGGAAGGGATGAGAGGATGAAATTTTTCTTTAAAGTAGTGTCATTAAGTTAAAATCAAGATAAACTGGCAAGCTTTGTTTTCAGATAGGGTCTCTAAACTCTCAGAAGGTTCAAATACTTTGGGAAAAGTTTTCAGTTAGCAATAATTGTGCCTCGGATAAACCTCATTGGCTATGATACTGCCGCTGCGCAAAGCTTAGGTTCAAAGACTTTGAAAACTATGTAGTGACTTGAATTACTTTGGCTTAGTCTTTTAAGGGAAAGAGAAAGTTCCTAAAAGTTTCAAGAAAACTGCCACAATGTCAAGATTTAGTAAGGTGACTCTTTTCTTGCAATTATTTTATTTATTGATTTCATTTTCAGGATGGTTTCATGTTGAAGAAGACAGAAATACAAACGTTTATGTGTCTGGTATGTATGCCTTTTTAAACAAATTTGGAGTTGGAAATATTTGATGTTGAGATTTTGACAAGTGATTTTTAGTTTTCAGTTTCTCTAAAGCCCATTTTTATCAATGAGTTTTGTTGTTGTTGTTCAGCTGTTTATATTACTAAAGAATTTGTCTATTATACAACTAAGAAAAATTAAGGGTATGTAGTTTTGCATGCCATCTTTTTTGACTGGTTTAGTTAACCTCCAGCCCTAAAATGCCCTGAGGCCTAAGCAAAGTATAATCTTTTTTTTTTTTTTTTTTTTTTTTTTTTTTTTTTTCTGCGGGGGTGTACATTGCCCTCATTTTTTTTTTTTTTTTTTTTTTTTTTTTTTTGGTACCGGGGATTGAACTTGGGCCCTTGTGCTTGCAAGGCAGGTGGCAGAACCTCTGAGCCAAATCCCTGGACCCCATTAAAGTATGATCTTTAATGTATTTTTTAAATTATAAAAATAGGAATAATCCTCAGTTTTATAGGTGTGAGTTTTTTGCCTTCATTTAGAAAATCAGCTTTCCACTCCCTTAAGTTGTTGATTTTTAATTATAGAATGTTAAGTATCTCTCACCTATGTTACTATTTAAAAAATGTTTTTTGATTTTGCAGGTTTGCCTCCAGACATTACAGTGGATGAATTTATACAGCTTATGTCCAAGTTTGGTATTATTATGAGAGATCCTCAAACAGAAGAATTTAAAGTCAAACTTTACAAAGATAACCAAGGAAATCTTAAAGGAGACGGGCTTTGTTGTTATTTGAAGGTTAGTCATATGGTCAAATAGTTTCTTACATCTTTATTTTTAACTCAGGATCCAGGGCTGTAATCTTGTATAGATGGTAATCTATGCTCAGAATTATTCAAAACAAGATACAAAGAAAACTGAAATTTCAGATGGTACCCATGTATATTGCATTGGTAAGGTTATCCACTAAGTATGTGACAGACGTGCTTCTTTTATCTTAAAAAAATTCCCACTGCAAAGATCTCTATCAGTGCATGCATTCAGTTGAGAAAACATTTAAAAAATCCAACAACAGCAAAAGTCAATGGCATTTTGTTTGTTCATTGGAATAAATTAGATCAGGGTTTAGCAAACTCGGGCCTGTTACTTGTTTTTGTAAATAAATTTTTATTAGAACACAGCCACCCTCATTCATTTAGATATTTGTCAGCAGCTGCTTTTGTGCTTCCTCTGCAGAGTTGTGTAATTGCAGCAAAGCCTAAACTATTTACTGTCTCTTTATAAAAGGACTTTTCGGACCCTTAAATTAATCCATGAATGAGATCATAGCTTATGCTTACTACTTTAAAATATTTTTTAATGGGAGAGTGAAATACCAAAAATTAATAAACAAATTTGCAGAACTTTGTATAGTCCTGACACTACAAATTACACAGGGAAAGCTCACTCAGTGCCAAAGGCAGCTATCTTTTCTGGAACACCTTCTACCTTAGGAGCATGCTTTATACATTGTCTGGTTTGAAAGAAAGGGATGTGATGAGAACATGTACATTTGTTGTTGAACCTGAAAATAAGTACAAAGTAAGATCAAAATTGCAAAACAATGCAAACACCACAGGTGTGTTATAAGTATTCATTATGGTAGTGGGATCAGAAGGTGGTAGGGTCGATCTGACAGCTTTTGCAGAGATAGGTTTTTGACCTGATTCATAAACATGATGGGCATAGAACATAAGCATGACCATTGTAGTTAGGTACTTTTATAATTTTCCACTGTTTGGGGATTCAAGCATTTCACAGGCTCTGCAAGGATTACTAAACATCTGTGAACTGATTAAGAAGATTTGATTGGAGCTGTAAGTTTTTAAAGAAAAATGTAGAGTTTTAAGGAACTTCACATATACAAGTTAGAGCCCATAAAGGTACAAGATTGTCAAGCCAGTAAATTAAGTTCTAGAAAAAAAATAACAGTTAATTGTTCCAGGATTCATATTGGATTGAGCAGCCGAGTTTAGTTGTCCTTGTATGTTTTCCTCAGACCCTCATCTTTTGATTCTTTTGGCAGGGGGTGCTGATAACTTCCCCCTTTGTGTAAGACTCAGCTTCCATAAATGTGTTTAATTTATATTCTATCAAGTAATTATCTTCCACTTGTCAGTGTATTACAGACTTACATTTTATTTGGTAAGCAGATAAAGTCTGGCTGTACTATTTCTAATAACTTGAGTTATCTAATGTTTTAAGTAAAAGTATTAATAGGATTTAAATGAAAGCTCATGAGTCTGCTTGCCTTACTCTGCAAGGCAAATTGGGGCTTCATGGGGCAAAATTACCTAATAATCTAATTTGGTGAATACCAACTATATGCTAGTCCCTGTCCGTCCCATGCATTATTTAATTTTGTCCGGGCCCTATGAAGAAAGATATCACTATTCTATTATTTTTCAGTTCCATATGAAAAAATTGAGGCTCAGGGAACTTGAGTTTAGCCTGAGTTCACAAAGCTGGTTAGGGACAGCTATTTCAAATGCAAGTTTCTTAATTTACATTCTAGAATTTCTCCGTCCCAAAGTAAGTAGTTGTCATTATTCCTTTAAAAGCAACAAATCCTTAAGTTTCATTTCTGTGTGTAAATTATTGGTTGTATTTTCTTTTATCTTTGTAAAGAAAGAATCTGTGGAACTTGCATTGAAACTTTTGGATGAAGATGAAATAAGAGGCTACAAATTACATGTCGAGATGGCAAAGTTTCAACTGAAGGGAGAATATGATGCCACAAAAAAGAAAAAGAAATGCAAAGACTATAAGAAGAAACTGTCTCTGCAACAAAAGTTTGTAATTTTTTTCCTGTTTAAAAAGTCATATAAGTATACTTTTGGTAATAGCTACCTAGTTCCATCAGATACATTTACATATTATTTTAAAAGATTTCATGAGATAGGGATCATCAATAATCTGTATGATAGGTTGATTTGGCAGTGGTAGTATTTTTCTCAGGTGTTTACAGGATGCTTTAACTTGAGCTAAGAGAAGCCTTCTTGTTAGAAAATGTTGAATGTCAAATTAGATTAAGGTCAGGCTTACATACCAGAACCACTAGTTAATTTTCAATGTGGATTGTAATCAGCTATTCCCGGAGCTAAATTGTATAGCGAAGTTTCTTAGCAGAAATCAGAAATGACAGGTTTTATCATTGCCTGATGGTGTAGTATATATGTAATGTCATCATGTTTCTGTTCATCCATTTTGTTATTCAACAGACTTGTTAAAATACACTAGTTTTTACAAAGTCATAATGATTCTTTCATCAGAGTGAATTTTATAATACTTTAACATTATTCTTAAAGATAAAATGATCAAAGAAGTGTTTAGTTGTGATGTCCCATAGTTTTTACAAGATTAGTTAATATATCCGCACATTTTTATAAGCAGTTTTAATAGAATCTAAGATGATAACAGCAGATAATTTTTATATATTTTGGTGCTGTTTGTTCCTTATAATGATATGATGCCTAGAAACTAATACAATGTAAAAAAATTTTTTGGCCTCTTAAGTACAATCAGCCTTTCATATCCATGGGTTCCACATCTAGACTCAGCCCATCATGGATCAAAAATATTTTTTTAAAATTATATCTGTACTAAAAAACATAAACTTTTGTCATTCCCTAAACAAAGCACTGTAAAAGCTATTTACGTTGCAGTTATATCATGAGATATTATAATTAGAGATGATTTAATATACAGTATATGGGAAGATGTTTGTAGCATATATGCAAATATTTTGCCATTTTATACCAGGTACTTGAGTGTTTGCCAATTTTGATATCTAAAAGAGGGTCCTAGAACTTGTCATCCACGGATATGGAGGGATGATTGTCTTACTAGGCAGTTATAAATACTAAATAATTAGCATTTTTTAGGAGTCTCGTTGCAACATTTTTATGAGACAAGAGTTTTTCTGAAAAATATATATATGCTGAGGAGTTCAGATGCTGGGTTATCTCCCCCATACCCAATGTTTTTATTTCAGAAGGTTCTGGGAATGGAACTTTGACTAGAATATGCATTACTGCTTTGGACTCGAATAATTATCATTATTAAACACTCAATACAGCATTATATTGACAACTCACTTTTTCTCCACCAAATCTGAAACAATTCTTTCCTTTTTTTTTTTTTTTTT